AAAATTTGGTTTGGGTACGTTCAGTTAGCGTTTGATTTCTTTTTACATTTTTTTGAACTTGTTACTTCAAATTCTAAAAAAAAAAAAAAAAAAAAAAAAAGGTTACTTAAAAAAATCATAATTTTGTTAATTCTTGTTTAAATTACCCAAAAAAATTAAAAGACATAAGTCTTTTAACAATAATTAAAATAGGTAGAAATTAAAAAAAAAAAAAAAAAATCTGGGTAGTGTTTTAATTAGAATTTTGGAGATATTGTAGAATTTTTATTTTTTGATTAATTTATTTCTCTAATAATTTGTTTAGTATTATTTATGTCTTTTAATTTTATTATTAATTTAACAGTAGTTAACCATTTTTAACAACCTTAAAGTAATCCTTTCAAACTGACAATAATCCTTCAAAAAACTAATATATAATTTGAGATCTGAACATATTCCAAATTAATTGTGATAAAAATTATGACAACAGAAAGTCAGAAACCCAATTCTTCACTGAATATTGTCATTGTCATTAGACACAGCACACATAATAGGAAAGACATATCAACTAAATAATTTGTAATATTAGGAGACCACATTAATTAGGAAAGAAATATTATCTAAATAATTTGTAGTATTAGGAGACCACATTGATTAGGAAAGACATATCAACTAAATAATTTGTAATATTAGGGGACTTTTTGCTAATGTCTTGATTTTCAAGACCTCAATTAATCGTGTTTCTTTTTTTCTAAAGGATATCTTCTGCCAATTATATTTATGTAACGGCTTTCTCGGGATTGGGAAAGGGTATGGGGACACCTAATTAGTGGATGTTTGTGAAAAGTACAATCACAAGGGTACAAAAACTATAAATGAAATAGATCATGATGGTATTGTATTGTTAAGTTAATTCGTAGATAATTTTAGATACGAGATACCGTTTTATTATTATATGATATTATAGTTCTATATAACAACATTTGGAATTGGGAATGACTTCTTATGCCCCTAGGCCTCTAATTTATACCCAAAAGGGTTCAATATAAATTATGTGTTTATTTATTTTAAGATGATATGATGTTAAAGTCTTTACAAATGTTCAAAGAAGAAGAACACAAATTACATCAAGTTTTAAAAGACAAGCGTGAAATCATAGACATGAAAAAGAAACAGAATATGCGCTGCATAATCTTAAAGCCAAATGCAAAGTCTTAAGTAAATGCAGCCAAAATTCTTTTACTTTTTGTTAAATGGTGACACTCCTCTATTTTTTTAATTTTTAAGGTCAATGTGCAATGGTACTTATAATACACGTTTCTTTATTTGTATTCTTTATTAAGTGGGGGGCGCATGCTGTCTTTCTTAAAAAAATATATTTTTAAGCCTTATGACAACTACATTCTGTCTTTTTCTTCTTCTAAAAGTTTTTAAGTCGAGGATTATTGTTTGGAGATCCCCTAACTTTTGATCTAAAGAAACCGAAACGTCTTTGTTGTTTCAAAATGGGTATCATCAGTTTTGCTACACTTTTTTTTTTTTCAATAATATTTGGGTAAAAACTTTTTATAATCTTTTGAGAATTCAAGAAATTCATAAGAAGTGGTCACAATGTGTTCCACATACAACCATATGTTGAACTATGTAAAAAGTCTCTGTATAAATAAGTGCCTCTAAACAATAATTAAAATAGATATAGTAAAACAGCAGTAGTGTTTTAAACTATGATATGGTGATATCTAGATTTTTTTTTTTTTAATTAGTTTATTTCTCTTAATGGTTTATGATATTATTCCTTTAATTTCTTGTTAATTAACTGTTAATAACCATTTTTTTAGGGATTTTTAGTATTATTTTTTTTTATCTTATGTACTTTCTGAATAAGTATTTGGAAAATTACCCAAATTATAACAATCCTTAAAACATTTTTGACTCTTGAATATTTCCCAAATATCAAAATTTATAAGTTCAATGAATGATGTTATTGTCATGAAAACAAAGTACATTAATTAAGATTGAGAGATTTATTAATAATTTGTAATATTGAGAGATTTTTGCTAAGTTTGAAATTATACAAAAACTTTGTATTGATTTTCGAGACCTCAATTAATTATCGGTTTCTTTTTCTAAGGATATCTACCTTTGTAACGGCTTTCTGGTTAGGAAGCGTTATGGGGACAACTAAACTTAAATATTAAGAGTAAACGACATGTTCCCACCAAGGTTTGACGAAATCCAAGTTAGTACCATGGTTTCATTTATTCCAAATTCCCACCTTAAAGTGACGGAAAAACGTTTGAGTAACGGTAAAGGGGTAAATTGGTCATTTTACATGGGCGGCGCACGTTAGCAGACCACGCCTTAACAGTCCTCCGGCGCACGTTAGCAACAGTCGTTCCGACGTTTTTCGCTCTTTCCAGCGATTTTCCACCAAAATCACCTAGTCACCACCATTTGAACCCTCATCCTCCCCTCTACAAAACCATACCATTCACAACCACTCATCACTCGCCGATCTCCGGCCACGGCAACGAAAAACGGTCGATGACACGACCTCGGCCGGCGAATGACGACGAAACGGTTGCTGGGGAATATATATATATATATATATATATATAAAGTGCCAAGATTAGCTACACCATACTTAATTAAAAATAGAAAAGAAGGATTGCCACTTTGCTGCATTATGTGTTACATCATCTATATTAATTTTTCTTAAAGATTAATGTTCACAAAATTGGCATATCAACAATGCATTTTTAAACTACTACTGAATGATCTGATAGTAAAAGAGCAAAAGAAGATTCTATGAGCTCCTAAGTTTGAGTCTCCCCAAACACTAATATAGGTGGTAATTAGGTTTATTACTCGACCGACAGTTCCAAGGCCATAAGAGATTATTTGAGGTACAAACAAGCTAGCCTGAACACCCTCGGTGATAAAAAAAAAAAAATGCATTTTTAAACTTGAAGATTATTATTATTATTATTATTATTTCTTTCCCCTACAAGTAAATTAGAGAACACAAAGTCAAATGAGTGATAATGAGTGATATATAGATAAAGGAAAGAAATTGAAATAAATTGTAAACTTAGATATCTTATTAATGTTAAATTAATAGAAAAGAATAACCTACTCATCCTACATATGTGATTTATGGGTGGTTACACATTTATACACATAACACATCTAAAGCTTATGCTTTTAATATTTTGTATTAAATACAAAGTGTGCTTCAAAGATTTCCCTAGTTCATTAAAAAAATTTAACCCTACAATTTGTAGGACTTAAATAATGTTAAACTCGATATTATTTAATAACTTGAGGGTTTTTAACATGTCATTGTAATGGTATCTCTCAATCCCAAAGTTAAGTTCATTTATTTTGCTAATCAACATTTTACGTAAGAATATTTCTTAGACTTAAATATCCAAATCCAAAATATAATTTTACCTAAAGTCGAACTCATAATTTATTTCTTGGATAAAACTTTAATTTGAGTCTCGTGATATTAGTATATGGATTTAAACCTTAAGATATTTTACCTAGATCGAAGTTTTTGTCAAACCTAACTTAACGAAAGTTATGCTACGAAGTGTATTAGAAAGAAAACTAAGAGCCTAGAAATTNAGATAGACTGATAAACATTTCTTATAAATTTTTCTCATAAACGCGACATGATAGCTCGCATTTGGTTACATGAGAGTATGATCTATTGTTGGACAGGGAGGACCCATTATTAACTGACATGTCGTATTTGTGAGAGAAAATTAGTGAGAAGTATTTGTCAGTGTAGTTACCCTATAAAATATATCTAATTAATAAAAAACTTATCTTCTTAAAATCTTAAACAATAGGAAAAAATTGGTTCTACTTTTTTTTTTTTTTTAATGATGGGTTTAATATTTTGGAGCATAAATTATACTAAATCAGAAAAAAGTATAAAGTATAGAGGGAAATTAACATAGAAAATTTTGAACGAGGTCACTAGTCCTATTAGCCTCTAGTTGAGTAAGTCCATGGGTTCCACTCTAACCATGGAACCTAAGAACATGACATTCAAGCTGCAATTTTAAGAATTTTTTATTTTTTTATTTTTTCATGCTCCTTAACCACACATCTCAACGATTGTCCTATCACTTGAACTACTAAAAGGTGGATACAATTTTAAGAATGATGTTATTGGTCTTCACTTATTATCTTATTAGATCTTAATAACTATATATTAATTACAATTTTATCCTTTTCAAAAATGACTAAATAACACATAAAAGATATTTAGTTGTTATTTTATTTTGTTATGTTCCTCTTGTTAATATTTTAGTGTATCATTTTTGTTTTTAATTTTCACAGTTCATGTTATATTTCTCATATAAGCTCATGTTTAGAATTATATCATAGTGATAATTATTTATAAATGTTTCCAAGGGTACCCAAAGAACTTAGTGATTATTATTATTTTTTAATTACATCATGAATAGCATAGCAACCTTTTGTATTGTAAAATCAAATCAAAAACAATATAAATTCATACAAAAATATTTCCCATTAGCTGTAAAAATAGTTTAAAAAATACATTTGAAGATATTGGCTAAAATTCATGGATAAGTAAGATGTACAAATCATGGATTATTTTAGAAAGATAGGTGACGCCAACGTAAATGTATAATATTTGGAAAGTCAAAATATAAATAAAAGGGTTATTTTAGAAAGATTTTATTGACGATTATATTCTCTTTAGATGCGGATTTTATTTTCTAAAAGGATAGTATCAATTTAAGTACAAAATTTTATAAAACAATAATAAAAAGGATATAAGAATATTGGTCTGCTGGTTGTTTTAGATACCAAAGTTTGATTTTACCTCAAATTATTCTTCATTTGTCCATATGTATACATATATTGTTCCCAACTCTAAATTAAAAAAAAACAATTCATATTATATTCTCAAAGACAGTTTCTATTTCCCTATAAAAATCCGAACCCCAGACTTCTTTTTCTAACCCTTCTCAGTACTCTCATCTTCTCCATATTAATCAAGAATCAACAACAAATTTCAGCGATGGAGAATATTATTGATTTCTTCTCTCAATACTTGATTCACTTCATAATCTTATACATTTCCGTTGGCGTCACCTATCTTTTCTTCTACAAAAAATCTTCCGCCACAAATCTCCCACCAGGCAAAAAAGGATTGCCCTTCATCGGTGAAACTCTGTCCTATGTCTTGGCCGCTCGAAGAGGAACTCCGGAGAAATTCGTCACTGACCGAACCACCAAATTCTCCCCTGATGTCTTTCGCACTTCCTTGCTCGGCGAAGACATGGCTGTGTTTTGTGGACCTTCAGGCAATAAATTCTTATTCTCAGGCCAAAACAAATACGTAACTTCCTGGTGGCCACATTCCATTAAAAAGGCTCTGATGCATCCTGACAATATCAACAATTCTTCCCTGGAAGAGGCCACTAAATTGCGTAGCTTTTTGCCGCCTTTTCTCAAACCTGAATCCCTTCAACATTACATTCCTGTAATGGATTCCATGGCGAGGGAACACTTAGAGAAAGAATGGTTTCCCTACAACGATGTGAAGGTTTTTCCATTGTCGAAAAAATACACTTTCGCGCTGGCTTGTCGGTTGTTCATTAGTGTTACGGATCCTGATCATATAGCGAAGTTCGCCGAGCCCTTTGCCCTTGCCACTGCGGGACTCATGTCGGTGCCAATTGATCTTCCGGGGACAACTTTCAATAGTGCAGTGAAAGCAGGGAAAACTATTCGGGAGGAGCTTACGTCCATTATTCTGAAGAGGAAAGTTGAGATTGATGAGAAGAAAATTACAGTGGCTACTGATTTGTTGAGTAGCATGCTGATTGATGGAATGACTGAGATTGAGATTTCTGATAAAATCATTGGTTTCTTCATTGCAAGCCATGATACTACAAGTACTGCCATCACTTTCATCGTTAGCTATCTCGCAGACTACCCAGATATCTACCAAAGAGTTTTCGAAGGTAACGCTCTGAATCTCTCTCTCTAGTCTGTTATCAAAAACTGAAATTTTATCTTTTAAAATTCATTGATTTTGATAAACTATACCTATATATGCATATGACTGTGTTTGTTTATTTTTTGTTGTTTATTCATATATTGGAGAATAGAACAAATGGAGATTTTCAAGTCAAAAGAACAAGGAGAATTGTTGAATTGGGATGATGTGAAGAAGATGAAATACTCTTGGTGTGTGGCATCCGAAGTAATGAGGCTAGCACCACCTGCTAATGGATCTTTTAGAGAGTCCATAATTGACTTCAATTATGCTGGTTATACAATCCCAAAAGGATGGAAGGTAATTGGTGAATTGTTTCTACTTTATATTCTATACGATACATTAATCATCCTCAGGTGGCAGTGTTCGTATTTTTTTTTTAAAAAAAAATGCAAACCTCATTTACTAGTGATGATTATCAATTTATTGCAGTTTAAGAAAATTCGGACCTTAATACCTGATAATTCTTGCTATATCATATATAGAGTGCATGCATGAAATTAAGACTCACCCCTTAAATAACTATTTTGCAGACATTTTGGACTGTTCATACTACACATAAGAACCCGAATTATTTCCCGGATCCAGAGAAGTTTGATCCTTCAAGATTTGAAGGGAGTGGTCCTGCACCTTACACTTTTGTACCATTTGGGGGAGGACCTCGAATGTGCCCTGGAAAAGAGTATGCTCGACTAGAAATACTTGTTTTCATGCATAATTTGGTGACAAAATTTGAGTGGGAGAAAATGAGTCCAGATGAAAAGATTTCATACATTCCATCACCCATTCCAATGGAAGGTCTTCCAGTTTCAATCAAGACCATTTAAACATAATTATTAAAGAGTTTTAAAAGTATTTGCTTTGTCTGGAATAAATTTGTACTGGCTTTGTTGTCAAAGGAGCTAGGCAATTGCCAACTTTGTTATTTCTTTCTTTTTCTTTTGTTTGGGGTGGGCGATGATTTATAGGTGTCACTACTTATTGTTTTTGTCTCCTCCAGTTATGTACTTTGAATGAATTTCTTATATAATTAATGAAGTTAATTTCGTCTTAATCTCATTTTATACTGTTTCTTTATTTTTGAAGAAAACAGATTCAAGAGGTCTGGCCTAATTTCTTTATGGAAGATACTGTAGAGTATCTGTAGGATTTAATTCCCCCATGTCTACTTGGATTAATATTACACACACTTTCTGATTTTTTTTAGTTAATCTTCAATGCGAATATTATGAAATTTTTTAACCTGCAAATCAAGAATATGAATGTTTCGTCACTGTTAAAGTGGAAGCCTGAAACAGTGCCGTTTTGAGTAAAGAAGGACGACGTCGTTTTAGACAAACTACCAGATGAATCCTGACCGCAGGATACACTTCAGATCCAACGGCCAGAATCCAGTCACTAAGTCAACCATATATAAACTCAATTTTTGCAGTAACAAAGGGTCGATCACTGTTGGGGTTTCTTTGTGCGATTGAGGAATTAGGGTTTGAGAACTTTTCTTGCCGTTGTTTGTGTAATCAGATTAGAGTGGTTAGGGGTCTTAATCATTCTGGTGAGAGTGTTGTTCTCTCGGGTTAGGGATTCTCAGTGGGTTTCTCTTTGGGCTGGTTACGGGATATATTGTAAGGGTTCTGTGTTAATTGGTTTGAGGTGTTGTAATCGTGATTCTTGTGGTAATAGTAAGTGCAGTGAGCTTATACATTTCCTAAGCTCAATGTGGATTTAGCTTATCCATAAAAGGATAAGTGAACCACGATAATCTATGTATTCTTATTTGATTGAATGTGTGATTTAGAATATGTGTTTGTGCTTAGTTGCGTAACAGTGGTATCAGAGCCATTTCTTGGAGTCTAGATCTAGTGGTTAACGAATCGGAGTCCCGATAAAAGAGATTTTGCGAAATTAGGGTTTTGCGAAATTAGGGTTTCGTGAGATTAGGGTTTCGGGAAATTTGGGGCTTTTCTAATTATTGATTTTTTTGAGTCTTCAAATAGATCTAAGGAGTCAAATCTTGGGTAAAGACTAGGATTCCAGAAATCGCACAAAGATCAGGGCAAGAGGATCTAGGGTTTACAATTTGGTGCTTTTATAAAACCAACCCAAAATGACCACAAACACCACCACACGATTAGAAATAAACCAATACGATGGGAAAATCGATTTCGAAAGCTGGAAGAAGAAGATGAAAGCCTTCCTTTCACATAATAAGGTTGCAATCGCACTGGAAAAGGATCCCAAGAAATGGTCAGAGGAAAGACTAAAGAAGAAGGAAGAGATTAACGAAGAAGCATACAACTTGATTGTGATGAATCTCTCGGACAGTGTACTTCGAAAGGTAGATGGATTCGAAACTCCACTTAGTTTATGGGGTAAGTTAGAATCTTTATATGCCTTACAGTTTGCACCGAATCTGGCTTTCTTAAAGGGAGCCTTATTCTCATATAAAATGGGTAATTCAAAGTCTATTGAGAAGAATTTAGAGGAATTCCTTAAGATGAATTTAATATTGAAAGGCACAGACCAAGAACTAGGAAAGACAAGTCGTGCCATGATACTGCTAAACTCCTTAATGGATGACTACCAAGTAGTCAAGAATGCCCTACAATACTCTGGTATTGTACCCAGTGTAGACTTGATTGTTGTCGGACTTAAGGCTAGGGAGTTAGAGCTTAAAACCCTTAAGAGGAACAACAATACTCTGTTTGTGAAGGGTAGATTAGAAACTAGTCAACCTAGTACAGGATATCAGTCTAGTCAGGGGGGTAAGAATAAGAAGAAATGGAAAAAGAACAGTAAAGCCAAGACTGAAACTAGGAAGTGTTACTACTGTAACAAGAAAGACCATCTAAAGAAAACTGTTTTGACTGGAAGAAGAAATAGAAATTAGGAAATATAGAGATCAACCTGGCCAGCACCAGTAACCAAACAGATGAACTAGAAGTCCTAACAGTGTCAATATTTGACACTACAAATGAATGGGTATTAGATTTAGGTTGTAATTTCCATATGAGCCCTAATAGGAGTTGGTTCCAAGACTTTGAAAATTTTGAACATGAGACTGTTTACATGGGGAATAACTAAGCACGTAGGGTTAAAGGAATAGGTTGCATAACCCTTAGGTTAAGTAGGGGAAAACTGATCAGGCCAACCAAAGTGAGGTATATCCCTGACCTAAAAAGAAATCTCATCTCTCTAGGTACCCTAGATGAAGCAGGTTACTGCTATGAGGCTAATAGTGTGTGATTAAATGTCTATAAGAATGAAAAACTTGTCTTAACAGAAGAAAAGAAGAATGGCCTCTATATACTCTGGGGGAGTTTCTATTCTGATTGTAACATCACAACACCTGTTTCTCCAAATTTAACTGTAATTGAAAAGTGGCATTTGAGGTTAGGTCATATGAGTCAGAAGGGAATAGATGTCCTAAATAAGCAAGGGTAGTTTGGGAAAGATACTGTCACTAGTTTAGAGTTCTGTGAGAATTGTGTCCTTGGTAAACAGCATAAGAACAACTTCTCTAAGGGAGTTCATCTAGCAAATAACTATCTGGATTACTTACATGATTGATGGGGGCCAGAAAATGTGAAATCTCATGGTGGAAACAGTTACTTTCTCTCAATCGTAGATGATTATAGTAGGAAAGTCTGGGTCTTCCTACTTAAGTCTAAAGATCAAGCCCTAGCTAAGTTTAGAGACTGGAAGACTTTAGTTGAAAACCAGACTAGTAGAAAGGTCAAAGCCCTTAGGACTAACAATGGGCTTGAGTTCTGTAACTTGGAGTTTGATAAGTTTTGTAGTGAACAGAGGATCTTGAGGCATAGGACTGTCAGAAATACCCCTCAGCAAAATGGGGTTGCTGAGAGAATGAATAAGACACTCTTAGACAAAGTCAGGTGTTTACTAATCACATCAAACCTCCCAAAAACATTCTAGGGAGAGGCCCTCTCCACAGCTGCCTATTTAGTGAATAGGAGCCCCTCTACAGCCATAGGTCTAACCTGTCCAGAAGAGAGATGGTCTGGAAGAAGGCTAGAACTTGGTCCCCTAAAAGTGTTTGGCTGTGCAGCTTATGCGCACACAGTGGGGGGCAAAGTGGAACCTAGATCCACTAGGTGTGTGTTCCTTGGATACTCAAAGGGCACAAAAGGGTACAGATTGTGGGATAGAGAGTCACCAGAGGTCAGGATCATAGTAAACAGGGATGTTGTGTTTAATGAGGGAGTTTTCCCATGCAAAGGAACTAACCCTAATGCAGGCACCACCAAAAGCACAGAAACAGCCACCATTCAGACCAGTACTACTCAGATTAAGGTGGAGCCCATAACCCAACAACTAAATCCACCTCAAGGTCAAGCACAAGCACCACAGCAACCTGAAATTGACATAACACCTGAGGAACCTGATCAAGGTACATATGAAGAAACTAAAGAGTTCTTGGAACCACAACAAAATGAATTGACAGATTAACAGTTGGCCAGAGACAGAATAAGGAGAAAGGTAAGACCACCCTCAAGATACTCATATGCAGAACTAATTTACACTGCTTTTCTTGCAGGTACTGAGGTGCTAAGGTCTGAACCTGAGACATATCAAGAGGCCATGGAATCCAGAGATAAAGACAAATGGAGAACAGTTATGGAGGAGGAAATGTAGTCTTTAAACGTAAATGAAACATTGTTACTGGTTCCAAAACCAAGAAACTAGAAGCTAACCCAATGTAAGTGGCTTTTCAAACTTAAAGATGACATTTCCATAGCTGAACTACCTAGGTATAAAGCCAGACTTATGGCAAAGGGGTATACCCAAAGGGAGGGGATAGACTTCAATGAAGTCTTCTCCCCTATGGTCAAATACAAAACAATTAGGATGATGTTGTCAGTAGTTGCATATCAAGATCTAGAACTTGAGCAGTTGGATGTCACCACTGCTTTCCTTCATGGAAACCTTGAGGAGAAAATCTATATGAGCTAGCCTATGGGGTTTATTGACCTTGAGGTTCCAGACCATGCATGCCTCCTTAAAAAGTCTTTATATGGGTTAAAACAGTCCCCTAGGCAGTGGTACAAAAGGTTTGACACATTTACAATAGGTATAGGATTCACTAGAAGTCAATATGACTGTTGCTTCTATTTTAAAATGGATAATGATATGCCTATTTACTTACTTCTATACGTTGATGTTATGATGTTGAATTAGCAAGTCAAAATCCCTGATTAGTGACTTAAAGAAGAAGTTGAACTCTAAATTCAGTATGAAAAACCTAGGGAATGCCAAGAAAATTCTAGGCATGGAGATAAATAGGGATAGGAGAAGGTGTGAACTTAGGCTGCAGCAACAATCCTATTTACTAAAATTAGTCACAAAGTTTGGCATGGCTGGTGCCAAACTAGTCTCAATGCCCCTAACCAATCAATTTATACTCAGTAAGTCCCAATGCCCCAAAACTGAGTCAAAATTGTTGAGAATGGAGTCTGTCCTATATGCTAATGTTGTGGGGTCACTGATGTATGTCATGATTAGTACTAGGCCAGACTTAGCCTTTGCCATTTCCATGTTGAGCAGAGATATGTCTAACCCTGGTATGGAGAATTGGACTACCTTGAAATGGATGCTGAAATATATAAACAGTACTGTATGTGTTGGCCTTGAATATTGTAAAAGAAATGCTGCATTTGATCTGGTTGGATTTGTAGATGCTGATTTTGCAAGAGAGAAGGATACCAAGAAATCAACTATAGCATATTTCTTTACACTAGGTGGAAATTGTATAAGCTGGAAGTCGCAACTACAACCTATAGTAGCCTTGTCCTCAATAGAATCAGAGTATATTGCAGTAACTGATGCAGTTAAAGAAGCTTTATGGCTAAAAGGAATCCTGACAGAGGCAAATTTAATTAGTGGAAAGGTGACAATGTACTCCGATAGTCAGAGTGCGATCCATCTAAGCAGAAATCCAATGTATCACAAAAGAACTAAATACGTGGATGTCCGCTAGATCAAGTTACAAATGGAATCATTGAACTTAAGAAGGTACCCACAGAAGAAAATCCAACAGACATGGGCACCAAGATAATCACTCTAGCCAAGTTCAAGCACTGCCTGAACCTGTTGTATGTCAAATAGTCTGGAGTGACAAAGAGCCATGACGGAATGGAACTGAGCAAGCTGCACAAAGAAACTATTTCCAGTGCTTCCAAGGTGGAGATTGTTAAAGTGGAAGCCTGGAACAGTGCCGTTTTGAGTAAAGAAAGACGACGTCGTTTTAGACAAACTACCAGATGAATCCTGACAGCAGGATACACTTCAGATCCAATGGCCAAAATCCAGTCACTAAGTCAACCATATATAAACTCAATTTTCGCAGTAACAAAGGATCGATCACTGTTGGGGTTTCTTTGTGCGATTGAGGAATTAGGGTTTGGGAAGTTTTCTTATTGTTGTTTGTAATCAGATTAGAGTGGTTAGGGGTCTTAATCATTCTGGTGAGAGTGTTGTTCTTTCGGGTTAGGGATTCTCAATGAGTTTCTCTTTGGGCTGGTTACAGGATATATTGTAAGGATTCTGTGTTAATTGGTTTGAGGTGTTGTAATCGTGATTCTTGTGATAATAGTAAGTGCAATGAGCTCATACCTTTCTTGAGCTCAACGTGGATGTAGCTTATCCATAAAAGGATAAGTGAACCACGGTAATCTCTGTGTTCTTGTTTGGTTGAATGTGTGATTTAGAATCTCTGTTTGTGCTTAGTTGCGTAATAGTCACTAACTTCACAAACCCTAGAAACCAAAACTAGCGACTTGACGTTCATCCTTACTATGCACCTTAAAATTTTCATCTTTACATAGTAACTTTTGGTAGGTCAATATTGGTTACAAGGGAATTTATGTAATTATTGAAGAGATATGCGACAAGTATAATTTCTTCAATTTTTATTAGACAAAATGCAAATATATGTATTGTTTGATCTACTTATTATAATTAAAATTGAAATGCATATCCCTTCGAGCTCCAAACATGCAGATTCAAAATTGTTTAATTATTGTTGTGATATGCCCAACACCATGGATAAAAAATTAACGGCAAGACAAATAGAAAAAAAATAATAATAATAATACATACAAAGCATATAATAGTTTACGTAGTTTGACTTTTTAACTTTAGTCTAAGAGTGAAAATAAATGAAGAATTTTAATAACAAAATGGAATATATAAATTTGGTGAAAACTCTCAAACCCAAATCCTAAATACATCGATATTTTTCATACTCTTACTGTTAGCGAAGAATAAAAATCAGAATTTATTACTAAAGAATTGATTTTTCGGTGAGATTGGATTGTAAATGTAATATTACTATATTGGTGAATGAATTGATAGAAAAAACCGTACATATGACAGAAATCCACCTAAAGGCTTTACAGGTGAGTTATGTGAATCGTTATTAGCATAGTTTTATTTCATTAATTCATAGCTTAAAATTATGTAATTAGTCAAGAAGTTGGAAAACTGAAAGTCAAAGATGAAAATCGAAGAAGGTGCTGTTAATATGCACAGATTAGGGGTAGTGACAGCTGGGAAAGATGGTATGATTTTTCAATTGAATTCTATTTGTCTTGCCGTTAATTTTTATCCATGGTAAATTATTATATGCTTTGGGTAAATTATTATTATTATTATTATTATTATTATCCATGGTAAATTATTATTATTCGTTTTACACGTTTTTTCAGTTCAGAAGCAGACATAAAGGGCCCTCATCTTGACTTGACTGGCAAAACCTGTCAATCTTTCTTTCAACTATCACAACGTTTATAATTTAATTAGATGGAAAGCCGGTATGTTTATAGATTTTTCTTTTTTTTTTTTATATTATTGTTTTTTGTGTTTTAAATATATATTTTCTGTATTAAAGTTTATTTTTTATTGAATTCATAATTAAAGAAATAAAAAAAAATTATATACTAAATTAATAGTAATAAATTTGTACAAATTTTAAATATATATATTTAATGTGTGTGTAAAGAGTTATTTTAAGTATTGTTGTTTTAAAAGCAATAAATAATAGAAATATTATATACAAAATAATTAATATTAAATTTATACAAATTTTAAGTAATAATTAAAGAAATAAATATTAAAAATATTATACATATACACAAGGCTTATGCTATACAAATAACTTTGTTATTTAAACGCTTTAAGCTATAAACAGTAGGTGAAAATCTTGGCTTGACCTTCTTCTTCTACAGAGTCAAATATGAGGTTTCCTTGCCTTCCACTCATGAGCAGCACAAAATCCCATCTGCAAGTTTTTGAAACCTAAATGAAGTTAGAATTACATTGAGGTATTTGAAAATGCAATCATAAATTCCTCGTCTGGATGAAGGATTTCAAGAGTTGCAAGCAACTCAGCAGTGCAAACCACGTCAATGACGTAATAAGTTTAGTCGGACTGCACCCAACAACCACAACCACAACCAATATGAGGTCTTCAACAACATTGAGGCAAAACTAAGAAACAAACAAATTGCAGCAAATAACAAAAATAAAGTAAACCTCCTGAAATATGCAGTCAAGTATACAATAGGATTGAGAAGAGCCCGACTGGTCTCGAGTTCTCGCCCCACAAGGCAAAGCAGATGGGAAATGATGCAGAAAAGAGCCATTCCGCAGCCTACTAACTGTTGTTCCATGCATCTTTTTCCAGCTGGCCTTGCCAATACATACCTACCAATAAAACCCAAAATCACATTAAACAAAAAAAAAATAAATAAAAAAATTAGTGAATATTTGAAAATTCAATTATAACAAAACCACATTGTACACCTTGCTTAAATTTATGACATAAATTACAGAGTCATAAACAAAGGAGATTTTAAAGCAAAATTAAATATTGCTTTAACATTTAGCCATTTTAGGTCACGTGAAACTAAATAAATGAATCTCTCTTTCTTCTAAAAATCAAAGCAAATTATCAAAAACAGAGAACAATTTACAAACTATTAGTCTCAGTTAAAGAAAATCACCTCCTCCACATAAGTGGTGTGATCAATTAATAGTGAGCTGAACTGATGCTAAGATATTTAATCAGTCGATTTCCCCGTCATCAAATGCTTCAAGATCATGCATAGTTTCCTCCTTGATTCTTTCTAAGTCCTTCCGCGCTCCCATAAACAAATCATCATATCTAACACATTTTCATGCATACTCAATCAATTCCATGAATCATTAATTCACATTTGTTACTATATGAAGCTGCAAAGCGAACAGAGCCCAGCGGTCCGGTAACAGTAATTGTGCCTAGGCAATTTCAGTGAAACTTTGGACTGTGGGAAGGGAGATGGGAATAGAGAGATAACGCAACATACTGCCTCCTGATTTGCAATATACATGAAGGACATAAACATATATAAATCTATTAGAAGCCAACATTTTTTTAAATAAGTTTTTCTAAAATTTTGGAATTGATTGAAGACATATACCAAAAGATAATCAGTTCATAATTTTTCTCCTCTTACATTATTTAATGGTCAGTGCATTGTAGTAATTGGTTTATCTAGAATTTTTCCTATTGATCTGCAATAGAATTGTTAAAAAAAATTACTAAATCTGTTTACCTGCTCACCTGGCTGATAGGGCCGATCAGTAGTAAGCACAACTCCTTGAGATGAATTATCATAATCCAAAAATGTCTCCACCTAGACCAGCAAAATGCAAATGTAACTCAGTTAGAAAACTAAGCACATTCCTTACAGAAGCTATTTTAAAATAATCTATGAACCTCACAACTATGATTGAGCATATTTGCCCAGGGAACCAAGGCAAACCTTCCATCCATTGAGGGAAATCGAACCTGTATATAAAAGAAATAAGAAGTCAAAATCATCCACTTTCTGTAATAACTTTTGATTTCTGTACTCATATGAAACCTCTTAGTTTAGTTCAAAAAAATGAAATTTAATAAACAAAAGATGTAGGAAAGATGTGAGTCAAAAGACCCAAAAAGTTAAAAATATGAACAATACAGAGTACACCTAAAACACCTTGCAATTACCACTGTTTATATCATTTTCCTGTTACATTTAAGGTACACCTATTTGTATCCATATTAAGAATTTAGACCCACAATTACCAAATCTTGACGGTTCATTTCCTGAAAAGTTATTATTCACAATTCCACAGGTTAGATGACAATTCTGCATATTCATGGCTAAAAGAATCAACATCTTTTCCATGAAGCATGATATATAAAGTGAACCAGGCAACAAAGTAACCGTGACAGCATACATAATTTTGCTAACCAAGCGTGAGAAAAGAATACCAAAAGACCATTTGAAGGTTCTATATTGAATATCTGCAATTTAAAAGGGTGCAAAATCAAATAAGGGGCATTCAAAAAATAACAGTAGTATACAAGTATTTACGGAACTCCAGATACTTCCAGTACAGAATGTCATAACATCCATCATAAATTTAAACTAAAAAATATATTTATTACATCATGGTATTTGATGTCTCGAGGAAAAACAGGGAGATAAGGTAGACTGTAATAAGATAAGATGATTAGTATACCAATCAGCTTGGAAGGCACACCACTGATTTGCAGATTGGTGGCGACCAAACCAGCAATTCTCATTGAAAATATATCGTATTTTGTTGATGCTTGATTTTAACACTAACGACCTTGCATGTGTAAAGTGTTAAGCAAGTCTTAGAAATTACACGTGATTAATATGAAATTTGGAGTTAGGTCACAATAGCATGCAAAGACTTAATAATAAATGAGACAGTGAGAGTTTTATAGTGGTTCAGATGCTTGAAACGATTCCTACGTCCACTATTTCTTTTATATAAATGTGTTACAAGAAGTCACATACAGCGAACAGCGAATTGGGGTACAAGGACTGTGTATTCAAAGAAAATATTAAGTCAATCTCTTTCTTGTGGATTGTCTTTGCTATTTTAGATTATGAAAATCAGAGATCCCGATTTTGCGAGAGGGAATCCTCTATTTATAACTGCTGAATTCAAGGTGATGATTACAAATCTGCAAGTGGGTATGTGTCGTGTAAGTCATTCTTTGCATCCCATTGGTTGATAACTTAGGAGATATCCTCAAATTATCTGAGATTTAGACAGGTTTGCGGTCCCCATTCACTCATAGATAAAACCTGAATCTGCTGGGTTGGTGACAGCCGTATTCTTTTTGTCTTGGGGCGACATGTTAGCTCATGGACAACGCAAACCTTCCTAAACTCTGATTAGTGCTTGCTGATGTGGGCTTACGTCAGCCCTTATTTTTTAGGCATAACATATTTGATACACATTTCCACCAAATGGCGAACGGGGAATCCGCTCCCGCCTGTCACCAAGCACCATTTCTCCTCCACCCCCAACATCACGACTACACCATGCCCAACCAAATCATAGTCGTCAAACTATTCTTCATCAAAAAAGAAAAAAAAAATTCAAGTAACCACGTTTGCTTACCGATTGGATCTAGAAATTCAAGATCTGAGGCCCCAAAATCCAGAGGTATGCTTCTAACAATGGAAGTCTATATGCAGCTGGAGAATCTTTTTATGGATTTGGAAATGGAGAGACAATGAGGAGAGGCGGCTGTTCCTTGGTGAGTGGTGGTGGTACTGAGTGATGTTGAATGAAATTAGAGAGATGAGTCGTGTAATGAATAAGATGAAGAGAGAAGAAGATGAAGAGGAAACGTATATATATTAATTTGATGGTGAACAATTCGTAGAATGTGAAAAGATTTAACTTTTAATTTGAAGATGAACTATTGTAATATGAACATATTTAACTTTTAATTACATCCATTATCCATCAACCAATCAAATCTTGGCACATTAATTATAGACACTTACAATAATTATAGAGCTCCCAAGATCCTATGTGACATCCTACGTGGTGATCAAATAGCACTCCTAAGATCCTATGTGACATCCTACGTGGTGATCAAATAGCACTCCTAAGATCCTATGTGACATCCTACGTGGAATCCAAATGGCGATCAATAGCAAGGGTGGGCTTCAAAATGATATAGATATATAGATTTTCGGACACCTAACTTACTCAAATGCATTCTTTAATATTTCCTCTATCGTCATATAATTTTTTATTAACATTTCTGTCCTTTTAGGTGTCATCACCTATGCTGCAATTTACCAAGATGAAAGCTAAACCCAGGATAAGTGAATCCGGTTGCCACTGGTATGACGTCTGCAAATTTTGTTTAAAAACTTTACTGTGCAACGGTTATGATAACGGCAGGGTCAAAATTCAAATTCTTCATTGTGCAACGGTTCTGAACAAACGGATTCTGTCACATGGACGTTAGTTCTCTTAAGTCCAATGACATCGTTTCATTACACAATGAAAGTAATAAGTTTTAATAAATTCAGATCAAGCTACAGGGTTTTGCATCTTCTTCTTACCGTCCTTAATTAGAAAAAGCACAGATCCTATGGTCTAAAAATATCCATTTTGTGTTTGTTTTGTGAGTGTTGAACAACTGAGATTTTTTTACTGAAGCAAGTCACATGGATTGTCACCTCCGTAAATGCAGTTTTTAAGATTAAAGCTGCTGGGTTTCGTCTGAAGTTCATCATTTTGTAATCTTCAAATCAACAGTTAAGATGTTGTAATTTTGTGTTTCTTTGTAAATCATTGGTGTTTCTTTGCTGGAGTTACACGAATTGCCAACGTGGACTCAGCTTTGGTATAAAAGCAGTCCAATAATTCTTTGTAAAGTCAGTTAGAAAAAATGAAATAAATAGAAGTTCAGTTCTGAAATCGTTTCTGTTTTCTCTCAAACTCATCTGTTTGTTTCTTGGGAAAGTATAACAATTTTTCCAGTTTCTCTTTTCATTTGATCCTAGGACTCTTTCACTTCTCACTCTAATTTTTATCTCTAACTCAAGCTTTGCGTCTCTAGTGTTTGTATCAATATTCTGAAACTCGACCTGGGTAATGACCCAGTAAGGCTACCGGGTCCCTGGTCGAGCAGTTTAACCGGTCCGACTAATTGGTCGGACTAGTGACATCATCATGCTGACCTCTGTTTCGCGCTCTGGAAAACAAGATATCCAGTCTACTTCATCGTTTGTGACCTCCGTTTCAATCAGATCAAGCACTCTCAGTTGTTTGAAACATAAAACCCAATCCACTACATATAAGCTCACCACATTTTTCGCACAGCACATTCAGATATTATTATTTGATAAATCCCATTTATGTGTTACTAAGCAAAGCCAAAAGGCATCATTTAGATTCACATACTTTGTTCTAAACTATCACAGTAAAGATCACAAAGGCAGCAACAAACACAAATCGTGTTCAACTAGCAACAGATTTAAACATTTCTTCTACAAAAATGATAAATTAGATGAAACAGAAAGCCCATTAAATATTCGAACTTTTTACCACCATTCAGATAATGATCATCATAAACAAATTCAATCTAAAACACTAAAACTGAAGCACATTAGAAAAAAGCAAGAGAACAAACCACAATACCTTCACTTGGCAGCCAAGTCGTCTAACTTCTTCGCCGATTTGTTCTTATATGGCCGATGGCGGACGGCAGACGACGTGTAGCACCCTAAGCTAGTCGATCGATAATCTGGCATGACGGGGAGCAGAATGAAGACTGAAGATGAACGAAGAGGAATGAAGATGAATGAAGTTGTAGAATTAGAAATTTAGGATGGTTTAGGGTTTTTAGTTTTGCCGGTCCGACAGAGGTCTAAAGCGAGCCAAAGCGTGAAACCTGGTTTCTTGCGTTATTAGACCAGAGTCGTGGCCGAAACCCAATCGGACCGGTTCAATCGGCCGGTCCGATCCGGGTTTAAGAACATTGGTTTGTATTGTTTGAAAACATGTGTGATGAATTTGCTATCAAAATGCACCCATATTTATAACAATAATGCTACAGACACCGGGATTTTTACACCGAAATATTATACCGATCTATATGTAACACGCCTTTGATTTTTTTAACAATTTTTTTTGAGTGAACGGCAGTCCATCAAATTTGGATGGCCGTCCATCAAATTTGGACGACCGTTCACTCACATGGACGCCCGTCCATATTATATGGACGAGGGTCCATATACCAGGGACGGGCGTCCCCATTTAATGGATGCCCGTCCATAAGTAAAATGAAATAATTTTTTTTATAAAAAATAGGGACGGCCGTCCCTTAATTTTGGACGGGCGTCCTTAACCAAAATATGAAAATAAAAATAAAAACATTTGGGGACAGCCGTCCATAAATTTTGGACGGCTGTCCCTTACGTTTGGACGGGCGTCCATTAGTCCATTAGGAATGGACGCCCGTCCATACTTTTAAAAAAAAAAAAAAACACTTTATTTGCTCTTCTTCTTCTTCTTCTTCTTCGCTCCACTCCATCCCTGTAACACCTCAAATCCATTTTGCAGCAATCCTAATCCTCCCACTGAATTACAGCATAAACAAAACAAAAATATAGATGAAACAGACTACAAGAGACAGACTGAAGTTCACTGTAAGTTTAAAACAATTTCAACTAAGAAGAACAACTTTAAAGTCTTTGTCTTCCCATTTGCCCATAATTGCCAAAAGACAAGAAGAAGAAAGATACAGAGAGATTAAGAGAAAGTTGTGAACTTTATATTTATATATTTTTTATTATTTTGATGACGTTTATTCTTATGAGATTCTGTTCTTTCTGATCTTTATTTCGTAGAATTTGATTCTTATTCAGCTTTCATTTCAGAGAAAAAGTGTTTATTTGCAGATCTATTTGGAGCTCTTCGCTTATGGGTTTTTCTTCTATTGGGGTAAGTTTTTCTGATTCTAATTATGGGTTCCTCCCACTGAATTACAGCATAAACAAAACAAAAATAACCTTTAGTGGATTTGAGGTGTTACAGGGATGGAGTGGAGCGAAGAAGAAGAAGAAGAAGAAGAAGGTGTTTTTTTTTTTAAAAGTATGGACGGGCGTCCATTAGGAATGGACGCCGGTCTAAACGTAAGGGACGGCCATCCCAAATTTTTTTTTTTTTTAATTTTCATATTTTGGTTAAGGACAGACGTCTCTTATTTGCGGACGCTCGTCCAATATGGACGGGGGTCCATATACCAGGGATGGACGTCTCCATTTAATGGACGTCCGTCCATAAGTAAAATGAAATAATTTTTTTTAATAAAAATTAAGGGACGGCCGTCCATAACGGATGAACGGCCGTCCCTAATTTTTATAAAAAAAAAATTATTTCATTTTACTTATGGACGGGCGTCCATTAAATGGAGAGGTCCGTCCCTGGTATATGGACCTCCGTCCATATAATATGGACAGACGTCCATGTGAGTGAACGGCCATCCAAATTTGATGGATGGCCGTTCACTCGAAAAAAATTGTTAAAAAAATCAAAAGTATGTTATACGTAGGTCGGTACAATATTTCGATGTAAAAATCCCGGTGTCCGTAGTATTATTGTATTTATAATAAAGGGAAGACCAAAGCTTGTCAATATTTTTGGTGCAAAATTCGACATGTGAAATTGTGAAGCCACCAAATAAGCTTGAGAATTTTGACATGCTAGGAGACATAAAGCTAAAATTTTCCTTCCAATTCGGTGGCATTAATAACCAAGGTTTTAAAACCCAGCCTAGGCCTTGACTTAGTCAAGGGATTGGGTCCCGGGTTGACTGATTCAATGGTCCAATTAGTGACATCAGCATATTCAAAAATAGCAAACAGAAACTACAAATTAATCTCTATAGGTTTAAAATCCAACAAACACACCCCTTTTAACTTCATATTTCATATCTTATTTTAATAAATAAAATAACTTTAAATCACCAAATTTCAACTCAATATTTAAAGCCAAAAATTAAAAAGAAAAACCCAGCCTGGGCCTTGACTCAGTCAAGGGGTTGGGGTTCAACTGTCCAATTGGTGACATCAGCATATTCAACAATAGCAAATAGAAACTACAAATTAATCTCTACAGGTTTGAAATCCAACAAATACACCCCTTTTAACTTCATATTCCATAGCTTATTTTAATAAATAAAATAACTTTAAATCACCAAATTTCAACTCATTATTTAAAGCCAAAAATTAAAAAGTAAAAAGTTTTAATGTTTTTTTTCCTCTTAACTTGTGCAATAATAATATTATATATGTTAAAATGGTAATGATAATAAATAAAATTTTACTATTTAAAAAAATTATTTTGATCTTCAAACTAAAAAAAAAAGAAAAAAATATTATAACATTTAGATTTGTTATCTTCAACTTTCAGAACAAATGTATTATGATAAATGTTAAGAAAATTTTAAGCATAATTAGCCCAATACCCTTTCGCTACTTCTCCCACCTCTGCTTCTCCATAACTATGGTTCACCAATGACCATGCTCACTAACTCACCGAGTAAACTCGCTTCCCCTTCTTAAACCTCTATATCTCTTGGAACAACATCACTATAAGAAATGTTAAGCCCTTTCTAAAAAACCCATCTTCGTTTCACCTGAACATATTATGTTTGCTTTCTCTTCTTTGCATCAAAATCCAATTTTTATTCAACCAAAGATAAATCCCCGCACTTGGTTACTAAAATCTGCAAAATTTTATCTATTCTTCAATGGAAGAAAACCCAGAACTCACTCACTTGATTCCCGAGTTGAGACCCTACCATGGCTCCAAAATCATTGAGACCCACAAGAATGCAGATTCAGTTTTGCATTTGATTTTCTTCAATTTTGTTTTACATTTCCAAATGGATTGCACATCAAAACTGAAGAAAAGCAAAAGTGCTTTGAAGTTATGAAGATTGAAGATGAAGATGAAGAAAAGCAATAGGTGCAGATGTTAAAGAAGAAATAAAGAATCGAAGACTTGAAGATGAAGAATGAAGATTTTGGGGAAAAATTGGTGGAAGAGTGACAAAATGAAGTTATGAAGATGAAGAAAAGCAAAAGTGCATATTTCCAAAGAAGAAATGAAAAAAATCAAAGATTTGAATATGAAGAATGAAGATTTTGGGGGAAAACCGGTGGAAAATCAGGTTTAGGAATATAAAAGGGGGATTTTATGTTTGACCTGGTTTTTGGGAAAAACCGGTTGTACCGGTGGATTGCTACAGTATCTCAGTCCAACCACGGGTTTTTAGGGTCTCTCGATCCAACTTACTAGCTAGGTCTCGGTCCAACCGATTCAACCGCTTGGGCTAGGCTAGGTTTTAAATAATTACCACTGAAGAAGTAAAAAATTCACCCAGACAAGGACGTATGAATTTGGTGAAAATCAACATGGCATTTATGAGCTATGTGAGAAAAACAATTGTGAATGTAATATTCTCTAGTCAAAACACTATTTAAGTCACCTTTTCTTTTATACAACTATAAGTCCTTATGTGTCCTTAAAGAAAAAAATAAGAATAAACGACTTTTTTCAACCTAAGGTTTGGCCTAATGACACTTTCCCATCTACCAAGTTTCATAATGACGTTTCCCCACCCTCCGTTAGAATTTGTCTGTTAATTTTAACTACACAAGGACATAATGGTAATTAAAAAAAATAAAGGGTAACTATGTCATTTTACCCTCTTCTTCTTCTCTCTTTCCTCTCTTCCCTCTTTCTTTTCTTCCTTTCCTCTCTCTTCTTCTTTTATCGTCGGCTACGACTTTCTTTTCTCTCTTTTAATAGAGAGACGGAAGGAGGAATCATCGTCAACCACCATTCATTTGAACTCTTTTACTTTTGCTTTAGCAATTGGGTCTAGTTGCTTCTGGTGAGACACTCAACAAATTAAGAAGAAAGTTTTAGAAAATTCTAATGCAGGTCCAATGATTTGGACATCGTTAGTAGAGAAACAATTGCAAAATTTAAGAGTAATTGCTGCAATTATTCAAACAAGAAGCTGATTGTGATGGTAAAGAGAGATAGTTTAATCTGTTTACTCATTGAAACAAATTGAGTTGATGATTCTAACAATTAGTGAAAAAGAAATTATACTATCTTCATTGCTAGAATCATCGTCAGTACTTGCAGACAAGGGAAACGAGTTGCAAGGTTGGGTTTTGAGGGAGTAGAGAGTGAGAAAAAGAGGGGAGAAACAGAGAAGTGGAGTTGGAGGAGGCAAAGCGAGGGTTGGTCGAAGGCAACAAAGGCGGTGTCGGAGGGAGCGAAGAGAGCGTCGACAGTGGCATTAGACTGGTTGCTATCGATGGTTCTAAGAACCACTAGCACTAGTTTTTCTATTTTCAAAATTTTTATTTATTTATATAATTTTTCAAATATTTTAATATTTAAAAGAAAAGAAAAAATAAAAATAAACTAAATTTACCATTCTATCCTTTTGCGATTAAAATGAACAAACAAATTATAATAGAGGGTGGGAAAATGTCATTATGAAACTTTTTTTCTTCTTGTTTTTGGTAAGGCGCCTCAAGAGGCTACAGGATCCCGTTACTGGACAAACCTTGAGACAGGAAAAACACCATTCCCTAAGGAAGACAACAGAAAACACATCCAGCTACTGGACAGACCCAGAGATAGGGAAACGACTCCACGCATTGAGAGCAAGCAACAAAGCCAATCGGCTTAAACAAGACAACAAGCAACAAACTAACTAAAGATGGAATAAGGAGACCCCATTATCAACCATCTCTCTATTCTCAATCGAATCTTTAATCTTCTTCAAATCAATGGCTCAGACTCAAACCACCAACTTCACGTAATCTTGGATA